ATGAAATCGGATAGGGATGAAATCGTTTAGGGATGAACGGGATTAAGAGTTTTTAAGAGTTTTAGTCAAATGCTTTATAATATAGTGTAGATATAGATAAAACCAAACATATTATGATTGTCCAAGTAATTAAAAATACTTTTTTAATATTCAACAAAATCCATGTTCAAATCTTTGGACCCCTTTTGTGATATTTCCTTTCATTTTATATAAAAATAATATTTAACTATTAAATTTTTTTATTTGTCGTTTTCACAAATTGAATTATTTTAATGTTTAAAATACTTATATTTGTAATTTTTAATTGTTATGTTTAGATTACAAATAATAACAACTTTTTTTATTGCTTTTGCAATTATTAAAAAAAATATTATATCAAAAATCAAAATAAATTAAAGGGTCGTTTACTAAACACTTACTAGGTAAGCATTTACTGATATTACTTACCTTACCGGTTAATTATGGAAAGAACCGAGAATCTTATCCAGTAAGAAGCATAACAAAGACCGAAAGACTTACCTAATAAATGTGGGAAAAGACTTTTATTCGGTAAGCACTTACCAAGTTTAAGATGTTTACCAACAATCTGTTTTGATGGTGAGAAATACACGATAAGGTAAGTAAGGATGATGTCTCTGGTAAGCATTATGTAAACAGTCCCTAAATCAATATTGATATTATCGTATAAATTTCAAAAATAAATAAAAACATTTTAAACCATAGATTTTACAATTTTGTTGCTCTCTTGTTATGAAATCTACTTTTCATCCATGTGTCTATACTATAAGGGTTGGGTTCCAGACTTCCAGTGAAAAAAAGAGTTAAACTGATAAGCGTAAGAAGAAATCTCCATCATTAGATGCATATTAAAATTAAATGCATCGTATCAAGTACAATTCAATGGTGGGTTTGAGATTAAATGTGATCAAGGGTATAGACCCCTTCTTATGATTCTCACATTAACTCTCATTCTCACACGATCATTCGCTTGTATTATAATATAGATATTTATGCTGACGTCATTTACTTCTGATATATAAATATATTAGTGCAAATAATGGCTCAATAATAGAAATAACATGTTTTTGGTTTTGATTAACACTATAATATAGAATATTTTTCTCTGTTCTGTTATTTTACAAACAAAAGTCACAATGATAAGTGCAAATTTTATACATTTTTACATCAAATTACCTTGAGATTAATGTCATTTAGATGTTTAAAATATCCATTTTAATTTAAGATGATAT